ATATACATGTTTCGATGCTGTTCTCTTGAAACATCCCACCCTCGCCTTCTCCCAGAGTCCACAAGTCTGTTCTATACATCTGAGTCTCTTTTTCTGTTTTGCATATAGGGTTATCGTTACCATCTTTCTAAATTCCATATATATGTGTTAGTATACTGTAATGGTCTTTATCTTTCTGGCTTACTTCGCTCTGTATAATGGGCTCCAGTTTCATCCATCTCATTAGAACTGATTCAAATGAATTCTTTTTAATGGCTGAGTAATATTCCATGGTGTATATGTACCACAGCTTCCTCATCCATTCGTCTGCTGATGGGCATCTAGGTTGCTTCCATGTCCTGGCTATTATAAACAGTGCTGCGATGAACATTGGGGTGCACGTGTCTCTTTCAGATCTGGTTTCCTCGGTGTGTATGCCCAGAAGTGGGATTGCTGGGTCATATGGCAGTTCTATTTCCAGCTTTTTAAGAAATCTCCACACTGTTTTCCATAGTGGCTGTACTAATTTGCATTCCCACCAACAGTGTAAGAGGGTTCCCTTTTCTCCACACCCTCTCCAGCATTTATTGCTTGTAGACTTTTGGATAGCAGCCATCCTGACTGGCGTGTAATGGTACCTCATTGTGGTTTTGATTTGCATTTCTCTGATAATGAGTGATGTTGAGCATCTTTTCATGTGTTTGTTAGCCATCTGTATGTCTTCCTTGGAGAAATGTCTGTTGAGTTCTTTGGCCCATTTTTTGATTGGGTCATTTATTTTTCTGGAGTTGAGCTGGAGGAGTTGCTTGTATATTTTTGAGATTAATCCTTTGTCTGTTGCTTCATTTGCTATTATTTTCTCCCAATCTGAGGGCTGTTAAAAAGGCAATAATTTTTAAAAAGGCAATAATAACGTACTGAAAATAGTATAGTGAGATTCAACAATTAGTTCATGACCAATTTATGTCTTGTTTCATGCATATGCATATTCAACTTCCTCACTGTACTGTTGTGATACAAATTCAAGATCATATTATTACATTTGTAAATATATATATACACACACACACACACACATATATATATATATATATGCCACGTCACACGGCATGTGGGATCTTAGTTCCCCAATCAAGGATCAGACCTGTGCCCCCATGCAGGGGATGTGCAGAGTCTTAACCACTGGACCACCAGAGAAGTCCCCATTTGTAAACACTTTAATATGTGTCTCTAAAAGGTATTTTTAAAAATCATAAGACAAAAAAAGTAACAAAAATATCAGGGTTGAAAAACTTTGTAAGATTTTCTTACTGTCATAAAACTGTTCATCAATGTTCAAATTTCCAATTTGTCTTAGAAAAGTTATAAATATTTGTTTACAATTTACTTAAACCACATCAAGTCCACATATTGTGATTGGCTGACCTGCCTTTTAAGTCTGTTTTGATCAACAGGTTCCCCCTGCATATCTTCTCTCCTCCCCTCATTTGTCCTGTCGAGGATTCTGCAGGCTGGAGTTTGCTGATGATATTTCTGTACTGGCATTTAAAGTGTTCCTTGATGCTATAAAACTGGAATTGGATCTAGAGGTGTAATCAGATTCAGGTTCAATCTGGGGCAAGACTACCTCACAGGTGGTGGTGTGTGCTCCCACCATGGGGCACAGAGTGTCTGGGTGTCTCTTTTTTGATGTTAGCAACCACCATTCTCAATGTCCAGAACCATTCATTCATTTGTTCACTATATATGCCAATAAAAATGTTATTATAATATAAAATTCACCTGAGAAGACCACCTTAACAACTGAAGTATAATAAAATGATCTTTAGAGACTTCGCTGGTTGTCCAGTGGTTAAGACTCTGTGCTCCCACTACAAGGGGCCTAGATTCGATCCTAGGCAAGGAACTAAGGATCCCATGTGCCACAAATAAGACCCAGCACAGCCAAATAAACAAATATTTAAAATAAAATAGGACTCCCCTGGTGGTCCAGTGGTTAAGAATCAACCTGCCAATGCAGGAGTCGTGGGTTTGATCCTTGGTCCGGGAAGATTCTACACACCCCAGAGCAACTAAGCCTGTGCACCACAACTACTGCTCTAGAGTCCGGGAGCCACAGCTACCGAGGCCTGCATGCCCCAGAGCCGGTGCTCCAAACAAGAGAAGCCACCACAGTGAGAAGTCCAAGTACCAGCAACAAGAGAATACCTTCAACTTTCCAGAACTACAGAAAAAGCTAGCGCAGCAACAAGATACAACACAGCCAAAAACAAAACAATAATTTAAAGCAAAACACTAACAAAATACTCTATAACCACCACTCATGCACGTCAAGAGAGAGATCTTCAGCCACCCAGAAGCTTGCATGTGTTCAATTCCAATCATGGCCTCCTTATTCTCTCCAAATGAACCGCTGCCCTTACTTTTACAGGAAGGACCAAAAAAAAAAAAAAAAAAAAAAGGACATAAAACCATAAAGAAACATAGGAAGTTATCACCCAAAGGCGCATCCCTAGTCATGTGGTTTCACCTTACTCATTGTTTATATGCCTCTTAAATCTCTTTAAATCTGTAGCTGTGGGGATACATTTTTAAGCATGTGTTCTATGTGAGACACCCAGTGGGCACTAAAGGAGCTATAAAACAGGGGTGAAGAGGAGTCTGAAACAGGAGACTCCCTTTGGCTTGGGAAGGACCAGAGTTAACTCAAGAAGTCAAAAGAATGTTATGGAGGGATGTGTGAAGGGTGAAGAGATTCAGCGAAAGCAGAAGTTAAGCATGTGCAAGATCCCTTCAGGTTCAGCCTCACACTCCAGCTTTAACACCTGGATCACACATCACCTCCAGCCAAGAAGAAGCCGCAGGGACCAGATGTATCTTCCCTTGGATTTTGTTTGTTTTTTCATAGGTGACTTTCCTTTCTCAGATATGTTGGAGAGGAAGCAGGGCTGAGATTCTCTGCCCTGATCTACACCATACCCACCTTACTCAGGTACATTCTTAGTCTGGGTCCCCCCCATCCCTGTTGCTGATGACGTCATTCACGAGGACAGTTTTATCAAACTGGGGTCCTAGTCCTCTTCTTCCTTGTGTCAGGAATCTACAGAGGCCAAAAGAGGACATTCAGCCTTAGGACTCAATTTTGTATTTTCTTATGAATAATTAAGAATTTTAAAATTTATTACAAAACATAGCAAGTCTGAGAAAAAGTATAGAGAACAGTATATCAAATACCCTTGTAGCCACTATCCAGTTTTATCCATTCTTAAATTTTGTTATATCTATTTCAGATCCATATATATATTTTAACATGTATTATAAATATACATACATTATATTATCATATATATGTATATTAATATCTATATATAGTAGATAATATAATATCTAAGACAAATCTAAAACAGATACTATACATAATACAGTATTTATATAATACATATAGAAGTCTATACCCACATACACATCAGATCAAGCTTGCTATTTACATTTTTAGTTTTCAAATCTTCTATATTCTTACTATTTTTTTGCCCATTTATCAATTACTGATGTAACTTTATTAAACTATCCTGTTGGCAGTGGATTTTTCTCTTATAATTTCAACTATATTTACCTTGTATTCTGAGACTAGTAGGCAAGTGCAAATTCAGAATTCCTATGTGTTCTTGGTGGTACAATTTTTGTCCTGTGATCTACTTTTATTCCTAATAAATCCTCTGGACTCATATTTTTGTCTTTCATTTCAACCTTTCTATATTCCAAGTGTGTCTGTAAAAATGCAGTAATAAGCTGCTTACTAAAGAATCAATGCTCTTTTTACTCAATGAATGTCATCATTTATTCTGATTACATACATTTTTGGAAGTTTTTTCCACTATCCCTTTTGTGCTTTACTTACTATGCTTTTTCTTATTTTTTCTTTGTCTTACGTAGATTTTTAAAAATACTGGATATAACTTACATTTAACATTAGTTTCAGGTACACAATACATGTGTGTATTTTGAAATGACCACCACAGTAAGTTTAGTTAACATCCATCACCACACAATAAATTATTTTCTTATGCGGAAAACTAAGACCTACTCTCTTAGCAATGTTCAAATATAGAATACTGTTAACTATATTCACCACACTGTATATTACTTCCCTAGGATTTAATTGAGAGATTTCCTGGTGGCTCAGATAGTAAAGCATCTGCCCGCAATGCAGGAGACCCGGGTTCAGTCCCTGGGTCGGGAAGATCCCCTGGAGAAGGAAATGGCAACCCACTGCAGTACTCATGCCTGGAAAATTCCATGGATGGAGAAGCCTGGTGGGCTACAGTCCATGGGGTCCCAAAGAGTTGGACATGACTGAGTGACTTCACTTTCAGGACTTAATTATCTTATTAGGAAGTTTGTATCTTTTGACCACCTCAACCTATTTCAACTAACCCACCCCTCACTTCTGCAAACAACCATCTGTTCTCTGTATCTGAGGTCATTTTTAAAAAAATCTCACATGTGATATGATATAGTATTTGTGTTTTTCTGTCTGACTTATTTTGCTTACATCATGTTCTCATGTGGTTGCAGTGGGCAAGAGTTCCTTTTTATGGCTGAATAATATTCCATGGTGTGTGTGTGTGTGTATACATATACACTATATACACACACACATTTCCTTTATGCATTCATCCATCAGTGGATACTTAGGTGTCCAGCCCACCATCAGTGACAGAGAAGCATGGCAATCCCCCAAATCCAGCTTCCTCCAAACTCCTGAATGTTCCCGGGGGGAGCTTGAGGGTGTTATGAAGTAACCTTCTCTTGGGGGCCTGCAGACCTTTAAAGGGTCTCTACATCTTGAAGGGAAGCAGGGTGTTAAGAAGATTATTTCTGAGGACATGCACCCACCTCCACTCTCCCACAGACATAAAGTTAGAATTGAAAACATATCGTGCGTCTGTACTGGGGCTAAGAGGCAGGAAAGGTACTAGAGCAAGTCTGGCGTCAGGAGAATTTCATAAACTGGGGTGAAGTCAAGCAGTTGGGTCAGGAGAGGCAGCCACCTGCTCAGGAGGATCCATCTCAAAGCACCGATCCAGCAGGGCCTCCACCTCTGCTTCCTCATAGTCCCACACAAGGAACCTGGAGCCATCAGCTGCTCCCCGGATCATGGCTGAGAGCACTGGGAAGGAGGAGGCAGGTGAAGGTGGCTCCCCCCCACTTTCACACTCTCCTCCCCTCCCACACTGCCCATTGCCCTTCCCTTCCCATCCCTTTCTGGGGTGGGTATTGTGCTCAGAGCCCCCCAAGGAAGGAGAGGAGGGCCAGGACCCAGGAGAGCTGGGAAAGGAGGCCAGGGCTGGGGGTGCTCACCTCGGCCAGACTGTGGGCGAAACAGGCACAGCACTGGTTTATGGAGGGCCACTGCCCGGCCCAGCTCATAGCCTACCCCCAGAGAGGGCTGGGTCACTTCTGCCACAACCACTGGGAAGAAAGGAGACCAGGCTCACCCTCGGGCTTGTGAGGGACACACGACACAGTCTGGCTGTGTGGAGGAGGGAACTTAGGGAGTCCCTTGGAGGCGGGGAGCCAGGCAGGTCCAGGGGATCTAGGACCCCAGGGGAGTGTGCAGGCAGGACGGGGGCCACTCACCATCTGCCTGCTGCAGCCAGGCCAGGTCCCGATCATGGATGAGCCTGTCGCCTCCAGCAGCCTCTTCCCCGGTGGTTGAGGGAAAGCTGGTCAGGGGCCTACCCTGGTCTTCAGTTCCTCTCCTCTGCCCTAGACACCCCCAGGTCCACCCTGCTCAGGGAAGGGGAGGGGACAGAGAGATGGCCTCCAAGGGCTCACCCAACACTAGGAGTCCATGAATTAAGGAAATGGAAGAGCCTGCAAGGAAAATGCAGCCCTGTGCAGGGGGGTGGAATGTGATCAATGACAGAAGTGATACAGGTGAGATGGAGGGACTCACCATGGGTCAATGATCAGAGGTGGAGAGGAGGAGGAATCGCATCCCAGGTGGGGACAGGCAAGAGGAGCAAGAGGCTGGCCCGTGCAAGGACCCTAGGGCCCCAGAGGCTCTCAGGCTTTGGTGGGTGTGAGAACCACCTGAGAACCTGATCAACTACAAAGACCCAGGGATCGATGAGCCTCGGCTGCTGACTGAGCTCTCCAGGTGATTCTCATACCCAGGCGAGTTTGAAAATCACTGCCTGAAAGCAGTGTAACCAGTGGGAGGTGGTGTGAAGGTAGGATATCCTGGGGTCACAGGGCCAGGATCCCAGCTTTCCAGGTTGATTCAGTGTCACCCACTGGGAGCATGAGGGTCACACACCCCAGATCAAAGCAGAATAACTGGAGAGCTCATTAAAAATGGACTCAAAGGCTTTATCCCAAGACCTGCATTTTCAACAAGCTCCCTCAGAACACTGTTGAGCACAGGCTCTTCCCAAAGCACCAGCAACTTTGTGATGCATCTTTTTAAAGAGGATGCCCCAGGGACTTCCCTGGTGACCCAGTAGGTAAGAATCCACCTGCCGATGCAGAATACATGGATTCCATCCCTGAGTAGAGGAGGTTCCACATACCTGCTGCGGAGCAACTGAGCCCGCAGGCCACAACTACTGAACCCAGGCTCCTCAACAAAAGAAGTCACTGCAATGAGAAGCCTGTGCACCGCGGTGAAAACCCAGGAATCAAATTCAAATAAAGAGGTCTCTGAGAACTGCATTGGGTCCTACAGATTCTGACTCTGCCCATGGGAGGGAAAAGGGGGACACACACCTGAGGTTTCCTGAGAAGTGCGAGAGTTCTGGCACCCTTTCCAAAGTAGAAGACCAGCCGGGATCGGGACTACCTCGCTGCAGGAGCAGGAGGATCAGAGGGCCTGAGAGAGACGATGTTCGCGGGACCTGGGGTCTGTCGGGTCAGGGGGTGCTGATACCTCCACATCAAAGGAAAGCTCTGTGCTAGGTGGGAGAGATCAGAGGCCAGCGCGGTCCACTCCCATCCTGCTCCTACAAAAGCCTCCGGAAGGAGTCCATGAAGTGCTCCACGAACGACCCAAAAGGTCAAGATAGTAACGGAATGCGGGGAGTGGGCTCCCCGGTCGGACGCACGCGGTCTGACCCCTGGCCGCAGTTCCTTCTCAGGTAGCCCCCCGCCCGGAGCTTCCCCGCCGGTGGGCGAGCCCAGCGGCCTGGACTAAGAGCGGTTTCTGTCGAGGGGCCAGACCCGTCCTCGCCTCCCCGCGGCCCGCACCCAGGCAGCCTCACCGCTCGCGTCCAGCTCAGCAGCCGCCAACTGCTTGGGAAGAAATGCCCCGAAGCGCAGCAGCCGGACACGATACCTACGTTCGGCTCCCGGTCCCCGGGATGCTCCATCTGAGCAGGGCCTGGTGGCAGGTTCCTGGTGGTGGCAGGTTCCTGGCGCTCCAGGCCCCGCGCACCTCTCCCCGCGCCGCGCCCCGGGGCGCCCTCGGGCTACCAGCGTCCTGGCCCCACCCCACCCGGCCTGCGGAGCCTTCCTTCCCGAGTATCCACACCTGTGAATTGTTCACGCCCAGGATACGCACGTCTGGGGACCCAGCGCCTCCCGGACCTCTATAATACCGCCAGGCAGAAGGTGGGGGTCCTTGCCTCCTCACCCACGGCCGCTTTCCTCCCGCAGGTTCCCCCATCTCTGCCAAAGGCAACTCCTTCCTCCGAGCTCCTTAGGTTCCAAAACTTGGAGTCGATTTTTACTCTTCTCTTTTCATCAGCTCCTACACCCAATCCATCAGCAACTCCTACGGGTTCTATCTTCCAAGTATCTCCAAATTTTGAAGCCAGCCTGTTGAGCAGCCAGCCTTGGGTCAGCTCCTGGTTTCCTAGTAAAGCTGTCGGTGGGGGTTTGTGGGTGAAGGAAAGGGTAGAGATTACTGCCAGGCCCCAAAAGTAGGGAATTCAGGACAGGGGGGCTCAAAACACCCAAACTCCCTGCTGGGGTACAAGAAAGCATTTTTTTTTTTAAGAGAGCATTTTTAAGGCTAGGTGAGGGCCGGGTGTCCCAGGGTATGGGATGTTCCTGCACAATTCTCCAGTTGGTTGATGCTGAGGTAACAGCCAGGTGTCAGGGGTTAAGGTTCCAACAGGTCTGTGGGCCAAGTGCTCATGGTCATCAGGTAGTTAATTTCTTCCATTTGGGGGGTGGTGGCTTGAGCATCTGCCAAACAACTCAGAACGTGGGCAGATACTATTATCTAGGTACTTCAGAGAGGAGCTAAAGCAGAGGATTTGGGAGAGGGGTCGCTCTGGTTGTTGTTTAGTTGCTCAGTCTTTGGAACCCCACAGACTGCAGCACGCCAGGCCTCCCTGTCCTTCACCATCTCCCAGACCTTGCTCAAAGTCCTGTCCCTGGAGTCGGTGATGCCATCCAACCGTCTCGTCCTCTGTTGTCCCCTTCTCCCCCTGCCTTCAATCATTCCCAGCATCAGGGTCTTTTCTCATGTGTCGGTTCTTCACATCAGGTGGTCAAAGTATTGGAGCTTCAGCTTCAGCATCAGTCCTTCTAATGAATATTCAGGATTGATTTCCTTTCTTAGGATTGACTGGTTTGATCTCCTTGCTGTCCAAGGGACTCTCAAGAGTCTTCTCAAACACCACAGTTCAAAAGCATCAATTCTTAAGCTCTCAGCCTTCTTTCAAGTCCAACTCTCACATCCATACGTGACTACTGGAAAAATCATAGCTTTGACTATACGGACCTTTGTTGGCCAAGTTTTGTCTTTGCTTTTTAATATTAGTTATAGCTTTTCTTCCAAGGAGTAAGTGTCTTTTAATTTCATGACTGCAGTCACCATCTGCAGTGATTTTGGAGTCCAAGAAAATAAAGTCTGTCACTGTTTCCATTGTCTCCCCATCTATTTGCCATGAAGTGATGGGACCGGATGCCATGATCTTAGTTTTCTGAATGTTGAGTTTTAAGCCAGCTTTTTCACTTTCCTCATTCACCTTCATCAAGAGGCTCTTCTGTTCCTCTTTACTTTCTGCCATAAGGGTAGTGTCATCTGCATATCTGAGGTTATTGATATTTCTCCTGCAATGTTGATTCCAGCTTGTTCTTCATCCAGTCTGGCATTTCGCATGATGTACTCTGCATATAAGTTAAACAAGCAGGATGAAAATATACAACCTTGTTGTATTCCTTTCCCAATTTTGAACCAGCCCGTCGTTCCATGTTCGGTTCTAACTGTTGCTTCTTGATCGGCATACAGGTTTCTCAGGGGGCAAATAAGGTGGTCTGGTATTCCCATCTCTTTAAGAATTTTGCAGAGTTGTGATCCACACAGTCAAAGGCTTTAGTGTAGTCAATGAAGCAGAAGAACATGCTTTTCTGGAATTCTCTTGCTTTTTCTATGATCCAACGGATGTTGGCAATTTAATCTATGATTCCTCTCTGCCTTTTCTAAATCAGGCTTGAACATCTGGAAGTTCTTGGTTCACGTACTGTGGAAGCCTAGCTTGGAGAATTTTGAGCATTACTTTGCTAGCGTGTGAAATGACTGCAATTGTGCAGTAGTAGGTACTTCAGAGAGGAGCTAAAGCAGAGGATTTGGGAGAGGGGTCTGGCCCTGGAAGGCCCCAATAAGGTCCTGGGGGGGAACATGCCCACCACCTCCTCTGACGCCCCCTCCTCCAAACCTCCAGCACCTCTCTCAACAGCCTCCTCACTGTCGACCCCCCTTCCTGCTACACAGTCTGGTCTCCAGCAGGGGGACCTGTAAACCCAGAAGTTAGGTCATGACCTTCCTCAGCCAAACCTCCAAAGGCTCCCGTCTCACTTGGGGTAAAACCCCAAACCCTCTCAGGGGCTCAGCAGCCCCACAGGACCTGGTGCCTCTCTCACCTCTCATCCCAGCTCCTTTAGCCTCAGCGTCTGTTCCGCAGCCACGCTGCCTCTTCCTCAAGCTGGGCATGTTCTTGCCTCAGATCCTTGGCATTCGCTGTCCTCCAGAGCCCATTTCAGGCTTCCCAGGTGGTGCTAGTGGTAAAGAACCCATCTGTTGATGCAGGAGACTTGAGAGACACAGCTTCAATCCCTGTGTCGGAAAGATCCCCTGGAGGAGGGCATGGCAACCCACTCCAGCATTTTTGCCTGGAGAATCCCATGGCCAGAGGAGCCTGGTGGGCTACAGTCCATAGAGTTGAACACAACTGAGGTGCCTTAGCAGGCAGGAGCCCTTGTCTCCCAGAGCAGTCCTGTCACTCCCTCTCCTCCTCCAAGTCTGTCAGGTTACCTTCCCTGACCACCCTCTTCAATATGGCAGCCTCCCATCCCCACCACCCTCCTCTGCCTGGGTTTTTCTCTTCTCACTATCATATAATTGACTAATTTTGTCGTATGTCTTTCTCTACTCAGTAGAACGTAAGTCCCCAAGAAGGCAGACATTTTTCTCTGTTGACTGCTATATCCCCAGCTTCTAGAGCTGTGCCTGGCCTGTACGAAACATTCATCAGATGTTTGTTGAATGAATGAGTGGATGAAATGAGCAGCTGCATTTGGTAGCACTTTGTAATCTGCTCAGCCCTAAGCTAATCTGATGGAAGCAGGATCTGCAGGGAGCCAGGCAAACATATCATCTCTCACTTCTAAGTACAATTTTCATTTTCCAATGGAAATTACACAAATTTAGGACAAAAATTTCAAAAGGAATGAGAGAATATGTGGTGGAAAGGGAGTCCTGAGACCCCAATCCCATTTCTCAGAGGAAAGTCTCAATGGTGGTTTCCTATGAATTCCTCCTGATTAATTATGAAATACTCACACATGGAGTGACAGAGCAGATACAATTACCATTTTTTAAAATTCAAGGACACAAAGAGAAGGAAAAGAAATCTTAGGTTACTTCTGGCCTCTGATGGGCTCAGTGCCTAAGATAAGACCATGGGGAAACGTGTGCACAGCCGGGCACCAGTGCTCACAGCACCTTCTCACACACAGTCACACATGCACCCTGAGGAGGCGGGCCCCAGGGGCCAGAGACCTTGAGGGCGCTCTCCTCACCCTCAGTCACACTGTCCTGCGGTTCTCGCCTCCCAGGAGGAGCACGTGCACATAGAGACACAGAGCATCTTGCTTCTGCCTCTGTGTCCTCAAGAAAAGAGGCCAGCCTCCATCTCCTCAGGGCCCACACTTCTGAGGGGCCTGGCATCCCTGTTCCACCTCAGGCTGAAGGAGAAAGAGGAGAGGGATATCTTGTGTGTTTCTCCAGATGGGAAACAAGGCCCTGCGACTTGTTCTGTGTCCACCGGTGAGGTGGTCAGGATGCAGAGCCGGCCTTGGCTGGCAGCTCAGATCCTCGGCTCAGTGCAGAGGCCTGAGTTGGAGGGCCGGGGCACAGTGATGGGGCTCTGAGTGATGAGCCACGGTGGTGTGCGGGTCCGTGTATCCAACTTATGTCCTCGTATCAGGAACAGAAGACTACCCAGTGCATGACCGCATTTAGATGAAATGTCCAGAAAGGGTGTATTTAGAGAAAGAGAAAGCAGATCATGGAGGGCTGGGCTGGGAGTGGGAGTTGGCTGCAGGGAGAGTTTATCAGAATTACCCCAGTAACTGATGAATCAAATGGGAAAAAAATAGTCAGGATATAGAACATTTGAAAACTAAAACTATAACAAATGGCTTGCTCAGTTCAGTTCAGTCACTCAGTCGTGTCCGACTCTTTGTGACCCCATGGACTGTAGCATGCCAGGCCTTCCTGTCCATTGCCAACTCCCAGAGCTTGCTCAAACTCACGTCCATCAAGTTGGTGATGCCATCCAACCATCTCATCCTCTGTCATCCCCTTCTCTTCCCACCTTCAATCTTTCCCAGCATCAGGGTCTTTTCAAGTGAATCAGTTCTTCAAATCAGGTGGCCAGAGTATTGGAGTTTCAGCTTCAGCATCAGTCCTTCCAATGAATATTCAGGACTGATTTCCTTTAGGATGGACTAGTTGGACCTTGCTTGCTAACAAATATCAATTATTGGGTAATTTTGTTAAACCCTCCCTTTGACAGTGAATTAAAAATACTTTTCCTATAATTTTAACTATTTTACTTTGTATTCTGAGACTAGTAGGTGAATACAAGTTCTGAGTGGTATCCTTTTTTGTCTTTATAAAATGACCCACTTTATAAAATTCTTTTGGACTCATATTTTTACACCTTTTGTTCAACCTTTCTGTATTCCAAATGCATCTTTAGTAAGCAGCTTATATGTACATTTTAAAAAAGCTGGTAATCTGTTAATTAATGAAATTCATTCATTCTTTTTTTTTCCATTTATTTTTATTAGTTGGAGGCTAATTACTTTACCATATTGTAGTGCATTCATTCTTATTTATTGAGATTACTTACAGGTTTGGAAGTTTTTCCTATTATCTTCTTTTGTCCTTTATGTTTAGTATACTTCCCCCCACTTCTTTTGTTTGTCATGCTTTCTCTTAAGTGGATTATTTTTTAAATATTTCAGTAACTGAAGAAGGCTTGTAGCTTCTTCCTGCATTGCATTTTCTTTGTTTTTATAATTCCATTAATTTATTTATTTTTGGCTGTGCTGGGTCTTTATTGCTTCTCGGGCTTCCCTCTAGTTACAGCAATCAGAGGCTACTCTCCATTGCAGTGCTCAAGCTTCTGGTTGCTGTGGCTTCTGTCA